ACCTAAATTCGCTAGCGATTTGTTAATATTTTTTGTTTCGGCAATTCGAGCTGATTCCTCTGCTTTCAGTCTTTCAGAACCCGCTAAATCTACTAAATTCAAATTTCCTATCGAAACTTCTTCTTTCCCTTTATGCAAACCGATAAGTTTTATTCTCGTTACCGAATGCGATCTCGATGATCTAAACAATTATACTCTGTTATTGCTCATGAATCTATTGATTATTTTCAAATAAATGATAAAGATAAAAAATATATATTTACCGTTCATTGGATAAAGTAGCCGCGACTGCTCTATTACGTTGGGCGGTTAGAAGGCATTCGTGCAGTTCTTCAGGACTATGTATTTCCTCAATTTTAAGATTGCTAACATATAAATCGTGTCCTTTACTATCAGTCATACGGATTTCATGTGTTTTTACTTGAGAATCAAGTAAATCAACGATATGCTCATTATAAATCTCAAGGAAACTAGCTTCAATTCGGTACTCCCAGCCAAGTAATTGGAATTGCTTCATTTCTTTGAATATGTGTCGTACCTTAATACGTAAACGAAAGCAAGAACGTTAGCAGACATTATCTCTTCCACAAATTATAATAAATAAAATTGTATGTACCGTTCTAGGTATCATGCCCTCTGTATCAGTTCCAGGTGAACCTTCCATCGTAAAAGTTTTACCTGAACCAGTCTGACCATATGCAAATACACAAACATTATATCCTTCTAAAGCAGACTGAACTAAAAGAGCTAACTCTTCGAAGACATCTTGTTGGCTGGTATTAGGTGGAAAAACTTTGTCGAAGGAAAATTCTTGTCGCATTCCTCTTAGCTTTCCACTACAACTCATTGCATCAGAACCATCTAACTTACCCACCTCGATAGTGGACTCATCAACGAAGTTCATTATACACATCCTGTGAACAGTGTAAATAATCGTTTGAAAATTTACTAAATTTAATATTTGGATCAGTATTTGAAACTTTTTAGAATGCACGATACTAATTAGAAGTTTACTTTATAGTACAGAAATGATCCCTGAGAAGAACAAACCGATACTAGAGAAATAATATTCAGACAATTGTTAAACTCAGATGAACAATAAATGATGAGATCCCTCCAGAGGTTATACCCTTAACATTTGAAAATACTAACTAGATATACAATACATACGTTTTTCCTTTCTGGATTTCACTTGAAGTTCTAGGACGCACCCGGCAAAATACTCGAATATTTCCTTTTAATTCCTGTATCGCATTATGTAGACATCTACGATCCTTGTCCATTGTATGAACTAGAGACTGTAATTCACTATTGACTGTACTTAATTCTTTGATAATTCTTTCCTGCTTTTCCAAATCTGTTTGTTGATTTTCTATGATAGATGTATTCTTCAATAGTAATGCTTCTTGAGACAAACACTTTTGTTTAAATTCTTCTAAACATTTTGAGACAGAATTAAATGATTCTTTGGATTCCAACAAACGTTTATTCAAATTCTTTCTTTCTTCTTCTATAGTACTCATTGCTACTTTCAATTCCTTGAGTTCATCATCTAATCTCTTGTTTAAAGTTTCATATTCTTCTATCTTTAACTTATACACATTTGTATTTGCTTCTGAAGTATTCACCTGTTCCTGTAGCACGTTAAGTTTCAATGCTGTATCTTTATACTTTCCTCGTAAGGTAGATAATTCATTGGTTGTGTAGGCCAAGCGACCCTTAATATCCCACTTATTTGGTTTGGTTGTACAGTTACTTTGTGTTTTTTTATCTGCTGTAACTGGTACAGTGCTATTAACAATCTTGCCTGTTGCTGTAGCATTCTGTTGTACAGCTCCTGGCTTAGAAACAGGTTTAATAAATGGCTTTTTAACTGCTGCATGTACAATGTTTGTAGTAGCTGGTCTTTTCAAAATCCTAGTTGTTATCGACGACATCGTTTTCGATCTAGCGAGGTTCTCCTTCGTCACAGGTTTATTTTTTATGGTACTTTTTAAATCAAGGTTCACTACACTTTGTGTCTTTTTCAACATTTCAGATGCATTATTGATATTCGAATGAGACTGTTCGTCACCACTTTTGAAAGCTTTTATCTTATTCATGTCTGAAGTATTAGTTGATTTAAAATTAATAGAGTCTGTCAAAACAATTTTTGGTTTAGGCAAACGTGATTCCATCTGTGGGACAATCATATAGATTAACAAAGTGTAATGTAAAGGAATCGTATGCTTACTCATGGTTCAACTAAACTAAGAACACATGCATTACCCAAATAGCAAAAAATTGATAAATCAAAACATCTATTATTAGATGAATCTTGTATAATTCATGCTGTTTCAAATCACAAGCTATCTTAAATATGGTTTGTCAACAATTAAGAATGTACTATACCTATTCCTTCCATTCTTAACTTACTTAACTACCTGCACATACAACAAATTCTACAAAGAAAAACCTTGGAAAACCTTGTATTTAGGTCTATGTAACCCCAACTTAAATCATTGCAAATACTTGATTACAAACAAAACTAATGTGTAAAATAGATTGAAGGAAAAATAATAGAATATGAGAACAATTAGTAAAAAAGGACTGATACAATTAGTGCCAATAAGACTCGAAAAAGTTATAAAGCAAACAGAATATTCAACAATACATAATTATAATAAAATATACTTTTAAACTTATATACAATGATTCCCTTTTTTTCGCAATTTTATGACATATCACAGTTTTATTTTACGTTTTCATTAGTTAAGGATCTGAACTATCTATTTCTTAATCAAAGAAGAATTAAAATCTTATCATTATCTTTTTACTTTGCGTGTTATTACTATATTTTTTACATGCAAATAATTCTGCGATTCACAGAACGAACTTGTTTTCTTACAATCACTACAAAAGTCTAGAATATATTGTTCGTAGATAGAAACATAGATACGAACAACAATGGCAACAGTCCAATAAAACAAACCTTTTCGTCTATAATAATAAAATAAAATCCCTCGCAGTCACACGCATCAACTGTCTACAAACTCAAATTGTTTACCATCAAATTACCTAATACTTTCACAATAACAAAACTATCATCTGACGTGTGAACATATTTCCTGTCCAAAGATTATAGAATGAATGCCAGGTTACTTCGGCAAAGGTTAAACGCGATTGAACGTGATTAAACGACGGTTGAACGACGTTTCGTGTGCTTGGTTTTCAAATTCATTTGTTGCGCATGCGCATTGGAAACAAACCAAGCGCAAATACTGAAGCATAGGAAACGATACGTGATGCCTTCTATGGGTGCGCAGGAGACAAACTGGCGCCACCAACGGAGAGTAGGTGAACTATTAGATAGTTTTTCCCGTTTTTCAGGCACAATAATGAAAAAAACATATAATTATTATAAATTTCGTAATCAGGGGAAGTAAATTTATCGTCTCGTCAAGCGTTGTTTGGAAATTGAAAAAAGAAATTTCTTGCTTTTGAACGTATTTTTAGCATGTTTCAAAAGCGAAATTGCAAAATCTGGCAATATCCCCCACAGCGGAATTTTATAAGGAACAATTTAAAAAAAAAACCGGACGGAAAGGTCGTTCTCTCGTCTCATAAAATGTAAATGAAGTCGTCGCTATGAAATCGAGGAGACTGATGCGTTTGCACAATGGCTTGAGTTCCACGCTCTCCACCACAGCACATCACAGCGCTGGTGTCATCTCTCCTGATGCTGGTGTGCCGATAATCTAAAAATGCCTTTCAGCATGATTCAGCAGCGTACTAAGAGTATGAAGGGCCCGAGCTTATATATTTTACTTTTTCATATGTATATATATTGTTAAGAAACGTCATGTATATGTTAAGGTTGTTTATATTGCATTGCAATTAATTGATACAGAATAGTCTATTACGATAATTTCAAAGAAGTAAATAATACAAAACTGATATGATAGTTATAATATGGTACGAAAATAATAAAGTACAAGTTGTTATTTGTGGAATGTAATGATAGTATGCAATATAAAAAATATTGTATAACAAAAAGGGAAAAACGTTGAACATTGTTATATATATTTTTATTTGATTGTCAGATTGAAGTTATTTTTCAATATGCGTAATTACATAAGAGAAAGCACACTAACAAGGGGAAGACACGGATGTTGCAGTCGCTTTCGCAACGACACCCTATGGGGGTCGTAGTACGCATGTAATACTGCAAAACCATTTTGGCTTTTTTTTCAGAATGGGCCTTCGTTTTCGATGTACAATAAAAGTATCTAGCAAGGTTCGTTGAATACATTGGAGGCCCGGATACGAATCCCGATTGGTTTTTTTTTTTATTTCAATTTTCTATCAGAAATATACTTTTTGTATTGTGACGGACCTCGCGTGGACGGCCGGGAAAGCCGCTATTCAACACGATTGGTCGTACAATTTCCACGGACGAATTTGTTTATAAAAATTTGGGCGCCAGTGCCAAGTGCACGCGTCCGTTACTTCCGTCCTTCCGGCTGCTCTAGCGGAGAGCAAAACTCAGGGGAGGTCGAAAGAGGAAATAAACTTTGATCCGCGTACGGGGGTAGACATGGCACGTGACCTCTCCGATTCGGCAGGTCGGTATTACAGCAGCTACTCTCTGCATAGAAATGATATTACCATTAGATATGCGGCAGCGGAGGAAAACTAGATGGAGCTGCTTGTTATTGCCATACACTAGATATACGAAAAGGAGCCAGAGCCAATCTCCGAGTTGACTTCAGCGACAGTTGCGGAAAAAGTAGGAAACTCCGAGACAAAGACAGAAAGGGCGATACAACAATTGCAGGAGAGACGAGGACAGGGCAATTGGGCTAGCATGATTTTTTTCCAGGATATTGAAGCAAAGAAGCAATATTTTCTAATAATTCTGGTTTTAATATATTCGTTACACTTTGGCGGATGCGACTCCAAGGCCTGATTTTGCAAAATTTGAATTCCGCTTCTAATTTGAATATAAATATATACTACATGCGGTAGTGTTTAAGCTATTCCGCGTTGTGGCGCTACATGCCATGAAGCTAAGTTCACGTGATAGCGTAATACGTAAAAAGTTGTCCTAGTGTCTATAGTTAAAAAATGGCGGCTACTGTTAGTTGTTACGCTTTTTCTTCCGATGGTGAATATTTTGCTCATTGTGGAAATGATGGGAAGTTAAAAATTTGGGATACATTCACTGGTCGTTTAAAACAAGAATATGTTTCAAATTTTCATCTATCTTCTCCATGTTCTGTTTTGGCATGGCTTTATGTTAATTCTTCGACGAGAAATGCCACGGTAAGCCATGTGCTTTTTTTATTTTACATTAGAATGCATTATCGTTTTACTATTTTGTAAAGCTACTTTGTCTATTGTTATTCAGAAATTGTATTAAGGTCTATTGTTTCTAATTGTGAATGTCCACATTAGATTTGTTCTTTTTTCATTTTGATATATTTCATAATATAGATTTCAAGGTTATGTTTCCGATGCGGTCTACAATTTTTTATAACTGTTCACAGACATAAATACTGAAATATGATTCCTGTAAAGAGTTTATCAAGATTATTAATATGTTTATCAATCAAAAAATCTTTATTTTACTTAACATTGTACTATTTGTTGCAAAATTCTATGCATTTATTAAATGCATATTGTAAGTTACCTTATATACTAAACAATTTCTTTAAATTTGTATGGATATCAATTTTTAAGCTATTGTTTTCATTGATTTATTATATACCACACAATAATATTTTTATAAGGAAATTTTTGCTCTTATTTTTATTAAATGAATATTTAATAGATTCATTAATTAAGTAAGTAGAGTGATTATTCCTTAAAATTTCTAATTTTAATTATAGAAATAAAATATTTGTACGCTGTATATATTATTGTTACAAAATTTTAATTATATTGAAATATGTTGTTTATATATATTTTAATCCACCACAAATTTGTCAGGCTGGTTTTCCATAAATTCTATTAAAATTTCTTTTTGTTCACCATATATATAGGCTATAACTGGATGGATGATACAACCGAATGGGGTGATAGTACATGTCAAAATAAATCGAAAAAAGAAATAACACTTTTTTACTTGACACTTCGTTTTTGAGAAGATCGAGTTTGATAATTCTATCCAGCACTCGAGCACTATACCACCTCTAGGTTTAGATATATATAATAAGTAAGGAATGTTAATGTATGGATATTACATTTATTGATTGTATTGACAGTTCTAATGTTAATTACATAACATTGAATAAACTGTTCAAAGTACTGTCCTTGTTGATGCGTACATATCATTGCTTGGCTTATTAGTGAGTCATGAACTGACGCCAATGAGCTTCGACACTTTATTTGATTAAAAGCATTTATTATTTTTTCCTTCACTTGTTTCTGTGATTTAAAAATTATTGCCTATAATATTCAGCTGCTGCTGTTGCATTTCCATGACAAGCTCCTAATGTTTTTATCATTTCAATGTATATTTTCAGTTGGTACAAGTAGACATTGTCACAGCTCGACTGATCGAAATAGACTAAAAGTAGAAGAAAGTCATATGGTTGAAGGAAAAATGTGAACATTATAAAGGTCAACATTACAACATTGCAAGCAAAAGAAAACTTGTAGCAAACAATGACTTCGAGAGACAGTCCAGTACACAGGTACTGGATAGAATTTTCAAACTCGATTTTCTCGAAAACGAAGCGTCAATCGCAAAAATGTTATTCCTTATTTTCTACTTATTTTTACATGTAGTATCACCCTCGGCTCGGTTGTACCATTTGTCCGGCCACACTCTGTACTTCCTATACATTTTTCTTTCTTTACATTTTCAGTATTGTCATCCATTTTTACAATTTTCTATTGTGCAAACATTTCATTAAAACCCTATCAGCAGTTGGTTTAGTAGCCGTATACGCAAAACTACACATGACATTGACAGGACGCCATGTATATTTCTGTTGGTATTTTCTAAAATCAAACGATCATTGGTTCGTCTCCAACGTGTAAATCTAGCAATACTGCAATTTCATACGTATACGAATCAGTAATTTGTATGATACTTCAGAATACTGGTTTTCGTATGTGAGCGATTCGTACACGAAACACGCCGTACGAAAGTGTTCGTATACGAATAAATTCACACGAAAATCGAGAATAGACCCCCTGTTAACAATTTCTTTCACATATCTTTTCAGCCTTCACCATGGAAAAAACGCAGAAAGAAGTCGATTTCAGAAGAATCCAATCCCAAAGGCATTGTTGCAATGGGTTCTTCAAATGGAAGAATTACACTTTACGATACTACAACGTCTTCAGTTACTACTCAACTAAATGGTCACTCTAGTACAGTTACTGCAGTGACATGGTCTGAAATTGCTGGTTTGTTCACTGCAGCAGATGACCATCACATTATTCATTGGAATCTTAAAGACAATGGAGTAAAGTTCAAGTGGAAATCTGGGAGAGGAAAAACAACATCTTTAGCAATTTCAGGAGATGGAACAAGTTTATTGTCAGGAGAAAGAGTTATTAAGTGGTGGAATTTATCTACTAAGGAATTAATCAGGACATTCACAGGTCATGCTAATCAAGTGACATGCCTTTGTACTGCTCAGATGTCATCTGCGAGCAATTATTTAATTAGCGGAGCCTGTGGCGATGGTTGTCTTAATATTTGGGCTTTAGATAAGGTAAGAGATTTTTTTCTTTTTAAGTTTTATTTGTCTTATTAATAAAAAATTTGTAATAAATAAATTAATACTTGTAATCTTTGGATCATGTTAACTATTAAACTTAGTAATTATATAAATATTTACAGAATAAAAGTGATAGAGCCCCTGTATCAAGTTTAGCTCTTCAGGATGATGCTGTAAGTGTTTCTGTAACTGTCTCGGAGGAGTCTCAGGTAGTCGTACTTGTCGTAACTAGGTCAGGGCAAGCACACTTATTCCAATACCAACCAAATGGTCGCTCAAAACCTTTGAAGCCTAGCTTAAATATTGCAGTAGCATCTGATGTAAGTCAAAAAGACAGTGTCCAGCAAATTTCCATCTTAGATGCAAAATTGACAGAAGACCAAAAATTACTCTTAATGTATGGTACATATCTTAATCCTACATTTGAAAGGGTGACTCCAGATTTCTCTGACAAAGTACAGTGTCTAGTGCGCTCAGAGAGTAGAAGAAATAAAGAGAGAAAAGAAGAAATTTCTAAGGTGAAGACTGCTATAATTGAAGATAACATTGAATACCTTGCACCAGGTATATGTTATTTAATGCGTAAATAACATAGTGTTTACATTTAACACAAAGAATAATGCTTAAATTTTTTTTTACGAAATTGAACTCATTTTTCATTACTTACATCATTAAACTTGCTAATTATTCATCTAAGTTTCATTTTTTCAATAGCAATCTATTTGTTACAGTTTCATCTCTTCGGTACATTTGCATATTTTAGATAAACAAAATTTTTAATATTGATTTCTGATTCACAAACGTATTGATTATTTGCTAACGTCGTTTTATGATATAGTTATAGTATTCTTTTATGTATTCTTTTCTTTCATAATCATAATCATAGTCATTCATTATTGAAAAATCGACAAGAATTTTGCTAAATAACATTTAAGTGAGTCAGACGTAAATGTTTGTCACCGGTGAGTTTATTTTTCTTAGGAATAATTGAAACCACAACAAAAAGGGACAGAAATAATTCTGGATCACAACTGTTACTAAAAGACAGATTGGAAAACCTAAGTTTAAATGCTGAAAGCAGTCCTGCAGGAAAGACTACTACCTCGGGCAGCAATAGAGCGCAACTTTTAATGCAAGGGTTGAATAGTAAAGACAAGACTATTTTGGGCAATATTTTTCTTACGAGGAATGAGACTATTATTAGAAACACTATTGCCAAACTACCAATACAGGCAATTGGACCACTACTCAAAGAGCTAACCATCTTGCTCCAGGGTAAAACTTACGCGTAAGATTTCCAAAAGTCAACTAATTTTCATTAAGTTTAGTTTTTATTACATTATTTACGTGTATAGGGTGTAAAAAATTAATGGTCACCACTTTCAGAGGTTATTATACACATCTGGATCGGTGGACATTCGCAAAAGAAACCGTCCGCAAAATCCATTATGACCTCGAAATTTAAGGTCAGTTTTTTTTTAATTTTAAAAAATTCTACTCGAGGAATAGGTAAAAAGCTTCAAATGATCCACATACCGGAGACGACCCGTTTTCGCGTAAAAAATTGTTAAAGTTTTTGCAACTTCTCGATAGCGTGGAGCAACTCACCGCCGCGGCGGCGCCGAGGATCCCCCACCCTAGCTCCTCTTCGTATATACACGTGCGATGGTGAAGTGTGACCGCACCACACAAACGTAATACGGAGCGCGGAAGAAAATGAAACCGTGTTACATATTTTCTCAATCTGTCGTTTTTGAATATTGACCAGTAAATTTTAAATTGCGTGTTTTGTTGTCTTATAAACGATATTGTTTATTTTCCGACGATCGATATTTTTTCTTCGTAGTCAATCATTGAAAGTGTAGAGTGTAATCGTGCATTTAACAAATTAAATACATTTGATGCGCTTTTATTTGCCAAGGAAATACGTAACATGATTTTATTTTCTTCCGCGCTGCGTATTACGTTTGTGTGGTGCGGTCACACTTTACCTTCGCACGTGCATATACGAAGAGGAGCTAGGGTGGGGGACCCTCAGCGCCGACGGGGCGCCCCGGTCGGATGCTCCATGCTACCGAAAAGTTGCAAAAACTTTAACAATTTTTTACGCGAAAACGGTTTGACTCCGGTATGTAGCTCCTTTAAAGCTTTTTACCTACTCCTCGAGTAGAATTTTTTAAAATTAGAAAAACTTTGACGTTAAATTTCAAGGTCATAATGGATTTTGCGGACGGTTTCTTTTACAAATGTCCACCGATCCAGATGTGTACAGTAACCCCTGAAAGTGGTGACCAACTTAATATATTAATATATACACTGGCCTTCAAAAAAAATGGGACACTATATTAAAACGTCATAATTCAGAGAGTTTTCAACCAATCTTCAGGAAACTTCGTGAGTTTTAGTTTTGAAGTGTCCTCTGTGTGTGTGCAAAGTTGCATTGACGAGGGTTGATGAGAAAAGGTTAATTCACCCCCCCCCCCCCACCCGGGCGGGCGGCGACCTCTAAATGGGTAATGCAGAATAACGGCACTTCAAAAGGGTCCAGGATTGACGGAAGGGGGTGAAAAAATCAAAAAAACCTTTGAGGCGACTCTGTTTGATGCCCCCTACAAAATGCACCCCTTGAAATCGCTCTCGGATAAACCCACCCCGAACAATCCCCCACCTCCCCTAAAATCCACAATTTTTAGATGACAGTCCCGATTTTGGACTCGATGCATTCTTTGTACTCCCCTGATCCAGGAAATGCCAGCACTCATGCTGTGCAGCCCATTGCCACCCCTTGAGGGGTGGAACAGCTCGCGACTTTTCAACCCCTTTCGTAAGGGAGGACTTCCAGACATCAAAGAGCGATGAAATTCACTATGTTTGTTCTCGATACGTTAAGAACGAAAGCCCAACAGATCCCGTTTCGAAAACTGCCCCCTGAGCTGAGCAGGGGTGGTCCAAAGTTAGGGGTGGTTCACCCCAAGTGTAAGGGTTGTAACGATGTTTCGTTGCGTGGAACATATGTGGTACGGCCCAAGGCATTGGAGTGACACAATTTTGATGCCTTTTCCCCTCGTGATAGCATTAAAATACGAAAATGTTTTTTTGGAAAACCCACCTCCCGTCTTCAGACCCGTCTGTGGGGTGAACGAGTAACCTCACGTCAACGCCGTTCGTGGATTCGGACACGCAATTGCTTTATTAAACATGTCCCCAAAAATTCAGATTTTTAGAATCATGCTTTCATTGCAAAATAAGGCGAATTTGAGAGCGCTGTAAATGAAGCCGGCTCTCAGAAGCGGTGCGGTACGTTACCAAGGAGCTGCATCCGTACGTGGTCAGACCAGACCGGACCCCAATTTAACATGGGCTGACCACGTACGGGTGCAGGCCCACGCTCCACTTCTGAATGCCGGCTCCGTCCGGTCCATTTACTACTCTTTCAAATCTGCTCCGATTTGACCACGAAAGCGTGATTGAAAAAATCTGATTTTTTGGGGTTCTGTTAATATTCCTGGATTTCCTGGATCAGGGGAGTACAGAGAATGCATCGAGTCCTAAATCGGGACTGTCGTCCAAAAATTGTGGATTTTAGGGGAGGTGGGGGATTGTTCGGGGTGGGTTTGTCCGAGAGCGATTTCAAGGGGTGCATTTTGTAGGAGGCATCAAACAGAGTCGCCTCAAAGGTTTTTTTGATTTTTTCACCCCCTTCCGTCAACCCTGGACCCTTTTGAAGTGCCGTTATTCTGCATTACCCATTTAGAGGTGGGTGGGTGGGTGGGTGGGGGGGGGGGGGGTGAATTAACCTTTTCTCATCAACCCTCGTCAATGCAACTTTGCACACACACAGAGGACACTTCAAAACTAAAACTCACGAAGTTTCCTGAAGATCGGTTGAAAACTCTCTGAGTTATGACGTTTTAATATAGTGTCCCATTTTTTTTGAAGGCCAGTGTATATATTCGCTAATATATTATTATGCTTAATTTTATGCTAAATAATATGCACTATAAATTTTCAATTCACAATTATTTTCTTACCATAAAGGATACTTTTTGTTCACATATCGAAACCAGTATGTTACAGTAATTCTATAGTATTTCGATTAGGTGAATTGTATTTATTATTTATAATGTCTTCTCTAGACGTTTATTATATTATTCTAAACTTACTATTTAATATTGCTACGCAATATTATAGTGTAATATTAATAAAATAAATAATAATGTATTAAAAAACGTTATTTAAAAAAAATATAGATCTTGTTTTATATGTATTTTACTTATTATTTTTGTTTTTATTGTATTGTAGGAGTAAAGTTGCAGTAAGATGGTTGGAGGCATTATTGATGACACATGCAGGTCATCTTTTGTCGCAAGCGGATCTTACACAATCATTTGGTCCAATTTTGAGTTTAATAGATGCCAAATTGGCTCTTTTGTCAGAACTCTCGAAACTTAAAGGTCGTATTTCTCTCGTCACTGGCCAAATTTCTCAGACAATAGAAGAACACCATAAGGATATTGTCGAAAATTGTCTTGTTTATCAGGATTCAGGTTTGTAATAAATATTCTAAACTAGCTTTATATTTTGTACTCAAATTGGTAATAACAGTTATATATCCTACAAATGTTGCTTATAGTTCGTTTTTAACAGTTTTTAATAACTTTATGTTTTTTTAATCAAATATTGTATTTTAAATTATATCTCCTTCAAATTAAGTTTTCTTCATTTTTTTTCTATATTATAACTTCCAATTTGAGCTGTATTGAAATTGAATATAATAAAAGCGAATATACGTAGATTCCTCAGACGAAGACCGTGGGATAGAAGATGAGGATTTAGAAAGTGAGTCTGATGAAAATTGGGAAGAAATGTCAAATCAGGAAGATCAAGATGATCAAGAAGAACAAAATGATCAAGATGTCAGAAGTGCCAATTCTGATAATGAAGATGAATCTTTATCCAGTTAAATATTAATGTAGGTACAACTTCTGCAAGCTGAAAGTGTTAAATTAATTATAGGCGTATATGATGGATCATGTCTCAAATATATATATAGTTTTAAAAGAATAACGTTAGTAATTTGAATCAGATCACATTAATTTTGTTAAATAATTAAACTGTAATTTTGTCTTTTGTTCTAGTAAATATTCAAGATTCCAGATACATTGAATGTGGAAGTGAAAGAAAGAGTAAAGAATGTTAAATAAATGACGTTTTTCTACACGAAGTATTCACTTTTATTATTTCTATATCCTTGTCATTTATTCAAATTGAATAGAGAGTCAGTCAGTCAAAGAGTCAGAGAGTCAATCTTTCTTAAAGGGTAGCAGTTATCTTTTTAAAATTTTGTTAAATTGTCAATTATCTAATGCATTAAATTTACGTGAAGAACATTTAATGATAATACAAAGTGGTACTTCTTTTTTAAAGTAAAATGTTGGTTATTAAAGATGGAAACAAACATGAAAATATGAAATTACAGGCCAGTCATATTAGACAATTTTTTTGCCAGACATTGCATAAAATACTGTAAACTTGCATTGTTGATATGTTGTTAGGTACCACCCAGATAGTATAAATCCAGATTTGAGCCAGTCGAAAGGAGTATCCTGACGAGAAAAGTTATCGTTACCTTTTTTTAAGTAGATAAAATTTCCTACAATTTGAGGTGTGTCGGAGCTCTGGGGCCTATTCTCGAGTTCTGACGATCAGTTTTGCAGTATACGCAAGTTGGTCACTTGCACATGATGTCTTTTTAAACAGTATCACAGCCGACTCTAGTACTAGCCGTGCTGAGACAAAAATAGCAACAGTGCGAGAGTCCGACTTCGATATATCTTTTTTTTCTTTTTTTTTTTACGTGAAGAAATGTATTTACGCACACCCCCTAAGGCGGAGAGGTAGTGTGGGACTCGCCCCTTGATCTGATATCAAGGGGAATACCCACTAAAACCTCACGGTGGTCGGGCACGGCGCTCTCAGGGAGGGCACCGGGATCTCTCCGAACCCTACCGGTGCTCTCCAGTGCAAGCTCCGCCATTTATTGGCGGAGCGCTCTCTCTGGTGGCGAGCGAAAGACCTCCCCACGTGACCGCGGGCATCACTGCTCAAAACACCCTCCTGTCCCTTGTAGTCGCCTTTTACGACAAACAGGAAATACTGTGGGCGTATTCTATTCCCCGTCTCACGGGGAAGAAAAGAAAAAGGGAACACCAGCGGTTGGAATTTACAAGCACGACCATCATCGCTTTTCCATCACGAGTAATTGAAGAAACAAAATCTGGGCCATGGGGGGTCGAACCCGCGACTTTCGCGTTATTAGCACGACGCTCTAACCAACTGAGCTAATGGGCCACACGGCTTCGAAATACCTCTTTTTTTTCGGATGTAGGGACTTCCGCCGGGCAGTGTGGGACTCCCCGCAGGCGAAACGTTACCCGCCGGTATCCCCCCCCCCCCCCCCCCCGATGGCCGATATTGGGCAACACAGCAACCGTGGGCTCTCTCCAGGACGGGTAAGCGACCTTCCCTCCCCTACGAACTCCACCACGGCCGCCGCGCCACAAGCTTCTCTTGATCTTTGGGATTCGTCGACTCTCGGAATCAGTCGGCAGGATGCTTTGACAGATATAGGTTATTATCGTTTGACAGATATAGGTTACAGTGGGGAATAGCTGGATGCAGATTATTAAGATAGAAGAAAAAAATTTCACCAGATACTACAAGAAATAATACACAAGAGACAGTAATGTTGCCTTGTAATACATGTGTGCACACAGTAAAACTATAATACACTGCTTCAAACAATTAGTGTGACACTTTTTCAAACCGTCATAACTATGGGAGTTTTCAACCGATTGAAACGATACTGCGTGAGGAGCATTTTTGAAGTGCCCCTAGGGGTGTGTAAAGTTGCATTGGTGAGGGTTAACGCGAAGGGGTTAAATCACCCCCTTAAAAGGGAGCGCGTCGAAAAACGTCACTTTTGAATGTGCCAAGAGTAATAGAAAGGGTAAAAAAAATTTAAAAAACCTTTAGGGCGACTCTTTTTGATGCCTTCTACAAAATGCATCCCTTGAAATCCCTCTCGGACAAACCCACCCCCCCACCTCCTCTAAAATCTACAATTTTTGGACGATTTTAGACTCAATGCATTCTCTGGACTCCCCTGATCCAGAAAATGCCATCACCCATACCGAGCACTCCATAGGCTGGAGGGGGGTGGAACAGCTCGCGAATTTTCAATCCTCTTCGTAAGGGACCACTTCCACACATCGGAGAACAATGAAATTCACCATATGTAGGTGAATTCACCAGTAATGTATGCTGGTTTAAGTCTGTCGATATTAACATTCTTCAAAATGCCATCTACGTCTAATTCAAACAGTACGTTTGAATGTCTTTTTGTAATCTTGTATGGTCCTCTATACGGCTGCTCCAACGGTGATTTCACGTGATCAGATCTAAGGAATGCATGGCTACAAGTAAAAAGATTCCTGGCCACGCCAAAAGCATTTGACTTCTAGGCCGCGGACATCTAGGCCAATTTTTAAACATCCTCAGTTTGTAGATGATACGCCATTTAGCTTCTTCATTTCACCGCCAAAGTGCGGAGCAGTCACTTTACGTGAATTGTCATTAGGATCTGAACGTCCGCACTGTTGAACACAGCATTTTAGCTGCGCATAGTTGGAAAGCACCGAATTTTACATTGTGTTACACAGTGTCGCCTTTGCACTTTATTGGGAAGGACTTTCATGTACTGGCAGCTCATTTAGATTTCACATCTTTTTCTACTTTCTTGTAGTTTTTTATGGGGATCCTTTATTTTTTTTATGATAATTCCTTGAGTCCTCCACTTTTTGATGTACTTGGCGTAATTTTTTTACTTTTTTAAAGTTTTTTTATGGGGATCTTACTTCTTTTTACAAAGAGAATTTGCATAATGAATGACTTTAAATAATTTTTATATTATATGTATATAGGGCTTCCTTTTCCGGTAGTGACTGTGTGGTGTGGAAGGAAAGGAGAGTAAGAGGATAAAGTGGTATAGTGGAAGAAGAAAGAGGATTAGAGGAGTGCAGAGGGTGTGAGAAGGGTAGTGGTGGTGTGTGGATCAAGTGTGAGTGGAGGGTAGGGGGAAGAAGGTGCAGGAAAGGGATAGGAGGTTAGGAAGAGGAAAAGAGCGAGGGGATATTTGAGGTTAGGAAGAGGAAAAGAGAGCTGGTAGTGGTAGGGAAGAAAAGAGAAAGACAGGGACCAGAGAGAGTGGTTAGGGAAAGGGTGATAAGGGTAAGAAAAGGGTGGTGAGGAGAAAGGAGAGGAAGTGGGATAGGAAATAGAAAAGAGTGAAAGCAGTGGAAGGGGAGAAGAGTGAGGGAGGAGATAGGAGATTGGCGGGAACTGGATAGAGATAGGTAGAGCGAGACGCGTAGCGGTAATGAGGAGAAGAACGATGAGATAAGAAGGAGTCGGTAAGGTAGGGAGCGGGAGGTAAGAGAAGGTAGAGCTGGGTACTTGGGAAAAGTAAGGAACGAGAAAAGATAGGAAAATGAGTGTAAAGGAGAAGATGGGGATGGAGACAAGAAAGGCAAAGGGTAGTTACGTGGAGGAAGGGGGGAAAGTAGGAAAAGAGAGAAAAGTAGCGTGGGGAGGAAAAAAAGGATGGATGAATTTCTGAAGGGGCGGAGAGGTGGAACGGAGGGAGAGAGGAAGGAGATTTTCAGCAGGTTTGACGCAAAGATTGCCAGAAGGGGAGGGAGATAAGGGGGAAAAGGCGAGTATGGAAGGACTGGAGAGGGCAATAAGGGAAATGAGGAATCGATAAAGGAGGTGAAAGAGGACATGAGGAGAAGAGAGGAGCAATGGAGGAAAGAGAGGGAGGATCTGATAAGGAGAATAGAGACTCTGGAAAAGAAGGTGGGAGAGGGAGGAGAAGGGGGTGGGCGAGAGGGGGAAAGGCTGGGAAGGGAGAAGGAAAAAAGAGAGTTGGCAGAAAAGATGAACGAGATGGAGTGGAGGCTGGAGTGGAAAAATAGAGCGGATAGGAGAAGGAATATTATTATTAGGAGACTGAGAACAGAAAGAGGGAGAGAGATAGAAGCAGTGACGCAAATGCTGGAAAGAATGGGGGTAAAAGGGGAAGTGGAGATGAAGAAAGAGGTGATGAGAAAGAGGAGAGAATTAGGTAGCAAGGGGGAATGGATAGAGGATGATCTGACTCAAAGAGAAAGAAGGATGCAGTGGAAGTTGAGAGAAATGGCGGAGGAAGAAAGGAGAGAGGGTAGAAAGGTAATAGTTGGGTATGGAAAGGTTTGCATAGGAGTATGGTAGAGGTGGAGTGAGGAAGAAGAAAGGCTAAGGAAGTGGGGAGAGTATGGGAGAGTGGGGAGGGAGGGAGAAAGAAAAAAGGCGTAGGGAAAAGGGGAAGGATGAGGGAAAGGAAGGGGAGAGAAGGGGAGAGGGGAAAACTAGAGGGTGAGGGAGAGGGAAAAGAACGGGAAAGGAGTGGAACGGAGAAGGGAGCGAAGGAAAAGGGGTGCAAAATAGCGTTCTGGAATGTGGCGGGGTTGGGGAACAAAGATAAGGAGTTTTGGGAGGGATTAGAGGACTGAGACGTATTTGTGGGCATAGAGAGAGACGTAGTTGGAGGAGAAAAGTTGGCGGAGGATGAGCAGGAGGTTCCTGGAGGATGGTGCTGGAGGCATCAGCCGGCGAAGACAGTGAATAGGAAAGGAAGGGTAATAGGAGGGATGGTTTTGGGGATAAGAAAGGGGCTAGGAAGGGTGGAGGAAAAGGGGGAAAGGGGGTGGGAGAGGAGGAAGTGATTATAACGGGAGGATTACAGGTAGAAGGTAGGAAGTGAAGAGTGGTGGGGGTTTATGTAAACCAAGATATGGAGAAGAAATTAGAAAGGATGAGAAAATGGATGGAGGTGGGAGGAGGGGAGGAAAGGATAATAATAGGAAGGGATTTCAATGCGCGGATAGAGGAGAGGGGGGTGGGGGGGATTGGGTGGAGGATGAGGGAGTAGGGAGACGGTCAAGGGATAAGAAGGTTAATGGGGTGTGTGGAAGACTGGCAGGGGTAGTAGAAGAGTGCGGATGGGGAGTTCTAAACGGAACTATAGAAGGGGATGAAAAAGGGGAGTACACGTATACGGGAGGGAGAGAGGAGTCAGCGATTGACCTGGTGTTAGTGAATCCAGGAGAGAGTGCGTCAGGATAGAGATTAGAGACAAGGTAGACTCGGATCATCACCCGGTAGTAGTAGAGTTGAGGG